ACCACCAACACAACTAATGATTGAACGTGATGTTCAAACTGAACACCGTCCAATAAGTACATTATCTAATTCAACAAATACTATTGAATTTGAAATACATACAGGCTTAAATGAATATATTAACTTAAGCAAAAGTGAACTTTATTTATGTTTAAAATTTAAATTACAAAAGTCTACTGTATCAACAACACCTGAAGTTAAAGCAGAAGACTGGAAACTAATATCTCCAATCAATTATTTAATGCATTCATTTATTAAACAAATTGATGTAAATATTGGTCAAACAACTGTTACAACATCATCAGTGAATTATTCATATGTGTCATATATTGACACTCTTCTTAACAGTAATAGTGATGCTAGAAATACACATTTAGAGACTGCATTTTGGCATAAAGATGAGACACCTATGGATTCGGTAAATGAGATAAGAAGTAGTCGTATACGACCGTCAGGTAACTCATTATCTGACGGGTGTGAAGTCGAAATGTATGGCAATTTGCACATTGATTTAGCATCGCAAGTAAAGTCTTTACTTGGAGGGGTCACACTGAATATTAAAATTTACCCACAAGATCCCAAGTTTTATTTAATTTATGATAAAACATTGATACCAACAGTTGAAATAATGGACGTAAGATTGTTTATGCATAAATCTATTGTTAACCCACAAGTAGTTGTGGCACACAATAGAGCACTTGAAAGTGCTAATGCCCGCTATTTTATTACACGAAAGGAAGTAAAGACATCAATTATAGCTAAAGACACATTAGATTGTTATTTAAATAATGTCATCAATGGAGTGATTCCTAGAAAAATATATATTGGTTTTGTTAGTAACGAAGCATATAATGGTTCATATAATATGAACCCATTTTATTTTAAAAATTACAATATCCGACACATTGCTTGCTATGTTGATGGGACTCAATATCCACACAGACCATACACACCAGACTTTACAAATAAAAAATATATGCGTGAATACTTTGGATTATTTGAAACAGCAAATCAAATCAAACATTCAACAGATATTGACATAACACGGGAAGAGTATGCTGAAGGTTATACACTATTTGGATTCAATTTTACACCGGATTTATCTGATGGAGTAGCAAAAAGTGGTTATGTATCAACTGTGGTTAGAGGTAACTTACGAGTTGAACTAAAGTTTGCCTACCCTATACAAGAGACTGTAACTGCAATCATATTCTGCGAATATGATAGTTGTGTAGAAATAGAGAGCTCAAGATTTGCTAATAAAAATTTTCAATAAATATGAATACATTACAAATAAATAACTATTTTAAAAATTGTAATAAATATTATGGTACATATCCGAGAGATATGTTACCAAATATTATACCAAAAGATAGTGGTGTTATTATTAATACAGATAAAGCTAGTTCTCCTGGGGAACACTGGGTTAGTGTATACAAAACAAATAATGATATCATTATATATTTTGATTCATTTGGTTTACAACCACTACATAATGATATCTTAAATTTTATAAAAGACAATACTGTAAACGGTTGGTATTACAACTGTATTAATTTTCAAAGTGTATATTCTAATACTTGTGGATTATATTGTATTTATTTTTTAACTAATTATTTTAATGGCGGATCATTTGAACAAATCCAAACTGTGTTTGGTTTTAATCCTCACATTAATGATTGTGTTGCCAAATTATTATGTAACTGGTAAATGTCATTTATCAGATGTGTATAAAAATTTTAGTGATTATTATAGAATATATATTAAAATAAAAGATATTTATAATGAAAAGTTTCCTATTGTTATGACTGATGTAAACGTAATTAATGGTACGTTAGCAAATATTGCGTCAACATATAGACATCGCATTGAGCGCTATTTTATAGAAGAAGGGTTTCCTCTAAACAACGAACACGACTTACTTTTTATAGTAAACAAACTTAATCTCTAAAATGAGCAAAATTAATCAAATCTGTGGTGTAATGGACGCACAAGGTTTTGTTTATAACAATATCTTTGTACCTCGTGAAATTGCAATAATATCTCACACTTGTAAAATGTCTGAGTTGTGTGAGACAAACCTAACTTATAGAGACATGGAATTGAAAGATCGGATTACTAACCTTTATTTGGCCAACAACTTATTGGGACTATCGTTACGTACAGTAAACATTGAGATAACACAAAACTCAACAATGGATGCCAAACAGATTATTATTGAGATGTATGAGAAAATCAAAAGCAAAGAAAAGCCATACATTGGAATTAAGTGCTCTCAATTGGCGGATATATTGGACATGTGCGCTATACCTTACGTTGAATTGAATCAGTATAGATGTCCTAGTCTTAAAACATTAAAGAGAATGTATGGAGGCCGTTCATGTCATTTTCATGAACGTATCATACCAGATAAATCTGATATGAGATGCGCTCAACACAAGTGTGAGCTATTGTGGAAATGGATTAAAAATTACTATTTGTTTTCATATTAAAATGTAAATAATTATACATTTTTTATTTATTAATAAAATTTATTTTATTCAATTAATTTGTTTTGTTTATTTATTACAATATTAGTTTTATAATATACAATAATTACTTTAATTAAGATATTTAATGATTTCATCTTTCAATGACAATATAATGTCAATTTCAGGGAATATGACATTTAATTTTTTAATGTTACCATTACTAATGATACTAAAACAATACAATTGTTTTTTCAAATGCATGAATGAGATAACTCGAAGATCTCCAAAAGAACCAAAGTCTTGGGTTTCCATCTTTTTCAACAATTCTTTGAATTCATTACCATATAAATAAACGCCATGTTTGGTGTAGAAGACATCTTCTCCATCATTGCAAACAGTCAGTCGGATGTCCACAAATTTTTCACCGTTTTCGTGTTCCAATACACGAACAAATTTGTCAAATTTGTTTTCACCATCAGATTTGGTGAAAATGGATTTTTGAAACAATGTTTTGCCAACCATTTTGATGATGAAAAATTTAATTTACAATAATAATCAGTTATAACAAAACTAATAAACACTAATACAATAATAGTGTATACACTTTGCTTTTATAAGTTAATATTTTATAGAGTAAACAGGATTTACGATAGTGTAATACACTATTTGTTGTTGCAATAGTAGTTAAACTACTTATTGCAACAGATGTTGCAATAATTGAAGCAATAGTTGTTAAACAACTTGTTTCAACTGTTTTTGTAATAGTTGATGCAATAGTTTATGAGTTTATAACTACATCAACATTTATTATAGTAATACAATTTGCATTATCAATATGCCTGTGATAACTAATGTTTCGATGACTGCTGATCTCTTTGATATGATTGGTTTTATTGATTTAAGAAAATTGTGTAACAACTGTTGTAATTGTGTATATCACAATTACCCATTTGTGAGAGTAATTAAACGGTATCGTAACCCTAATGCCACGGTTATGATATACGACTCTGGTAAACTAGTATGTGTGGGTGCAAAATCAAAAAATGATGGTCGAATAGCATTACGAAAGACTGCTCGCATAATACAAAAACTCGGATATGATATCAAATTACATAACTTACGTGTGACTAACATTGCTGCGTCACATAACCTGAAAAACGACTTGAATGTAGAGAAACTGATGAATCAATTTAATTGGAGCAGTAATTATGAGTTGGAAATATTTCCACATTTGAGGATCAATTGTGGTAATAAAAGACATATAACTCTCACTAGAAAAGGGAAAATGATATTGACTGGTGTTTATACTAGAAAAGCATTGAATGAATTATATGAAGAGTTTATGTTTAAATACTTTGATTACTTAATAAACAAATAAATATGAAGAAAGTTAGATTTGATGACAAAATACAGATAAAGACTATGTATGTTTGGTCATATGCTTCAAGACAGGCTCGTATATCTAACTGGCATTGGATAGTTTTTAACAGACGTATTCATGAATATAAGTGTAAACTAATTGAAGAAAATATATCATATGTATTAGATAAAAATTTTAGAGAGAAAATATTTAATGAACGCTTTTGTAAATAAATAAAATGTAAATAAATTATAAATATTATTTTAAAAATAAATGTATTTATATTTATTTTGTTTACATCTACACTCATGTTAGGTCACATGATTTCCGCTATCCCCTCTCCGCTAATACATCGGAAGGTTGACCAGTTCGGTAAGTTGGTCAGTTTAGGTAGGTGGTCTGTTAGGTTAGGTTGGGTTAGGTTCGGGTAGTTGGTCAGTTCGGTTAGTTGGTCAGTTCGGGTAGTTGGTCAGTTCGGGTAGTTGGTCAGTTCGGGTAGTTGGTCAGTTCGGGTAGTTGGTCAGTTCGGGTAGTTGGTCAGTTCGGGTAGTTGCTCAGTTCGCGTATGTGGTCAGTTTGGGTATGTGGTCAGTTCGGGTAGGTGGTCAGTTCGGGTAGGTGGTTACTATGGGTAGTTGGTCAGTTCGGGTAAGATGGTCAGTTCGGGTAAGATGGTCAGTTCGGGTAGGTTGTCGGTTCGGGTAGGTGGTCAGATCGGGTAGGTGGTCAGTTCGGGTAGGTGGTCAGATTGGGTAGAGGTAGTAGTGACGTCATTGGTGTACTTCACTTAGGTTAGGTTAGGTGGAGTCACGTGATCACGTGAACCCCCTCTCCGTGACACAGCTATATGGGGGAAAGCACTGTGCTTTCCCTCATGTGAACCCTTAGGTACCAACTACTGTTATATTGTGAATTTTATAATTATAATTAACTGATTAGTTAGTCATAATCATAGTCATCACTATTGATGTCACTAATGATGATTTTATTCAAGTTTATAATAGATTAGTTAAGTTTTAGTCAAATTATAAAAATCATAAAAATGTATTCATTTTATTACAAATAATTGATTAACTATATGATGACTAATAATATTACTAATTGATTTAGAAATCAATAAATTTTTGGTATATTATAAACTTTAATATTAAGCACATTTGACTAAAATAGTTAATTCAATAATTGGTTATAAAAAATATCTCTTAATTATTTGGACATTTAAATCCATTGACTAAAACACTAATAGTAGTTGTATTGATTTAGGGACAATGCCTGCGACCAAATGTGTTTGCGGTGTTGGCGGCCATCAGACCGACTACTGTATCGTATCGCTCAAAGCGCTCGGTTCGGACATCGATGACTACCGATATGGATATTGTCCAAAGACGGGAAGTGTAGAAGTGGCCGAACTGTATAAACAGTTGGTCACCAGCAGTGATAACGGTGATGGCGGTGACGATAGTTATATAAATCTAGAATTGTACGAAATGATCGACACCGACAACGATAACGACAGTGGTGTCGTCAATGGTGGCGGAAAATTGGTTACCACCAGTGTTTATAACTTCGCTAACAAAAGTGTCAAAGAAAGGCAAAATTTTCGTCTAGAGATTCGACCGAATTGTGTATACATTACGCTAACGTTGGCTGCATTGAGAGGACAGTCGTCAGAACACTATCCGTATTATATATACCCGAAATGCACGCCAACAGTCGGCCATTTGAAACGCCTGTTGGCCAAAGAGTACTCGTTTGTCGCCAAAACGGTTACAATGTATTTGACGGAAAAAGGATCGACACTTCCGGACCATCAGTACACTGAATACGAACTCCTGGATGAGATGCCTATTAGTAAGGCATGGATTTACGACCGGTTCGCTAATAGTCTGATTCAGGTTATACCCAATACTTTTACAAACAGATCAGAGTATGTAATAAAATAAAACGGTTTGATTATTGATTTTTTTAGCAATTTATTTTATTCCTAAAACTATTGTCAGATTTAATTGCAGTGATATAATAACCGAAAAGTTTGCTGACTTGTCGACCGCATTGTCGAACTTTGCTAATCAATTAAACCAAAGTTTGGCAACCGTTGGCTGCGGACACAAATGTTTAACCGATGCCTCTGTCTATAACTCGGATATCGACGGAGACCAGTGTGACGGCAATCCATCGATTAGTAAACTTAAAGACAATAAAACAACTTTCAAACAATCAGTTAGAAGAGAAAATAAGTCAAAATTAAAGAACTTCTCATTGAATAAGAATGATATGAACACCAATTGTCTACTAAATGATTTGAAGGTTGTATTGCAGTGCACTTTGGATCCAAATGACCAACTGATCCGCCAATTCGGTAAACTCGAAGAACTCGTCGACAGCAAAGATGTAGAGATAGGAAACTTGAAGGCATTGATCAAAGATCAGGAACAAGTGATCGAAGACTTGGGAAATATTTTCGTAAAATACAATAAAGATGAAGAATAGTATGTTTTTGTGGTAATTATAATATCATTAAATCAAATAAACTTAATTTTTTGTAGTAATTTATTCTGTATTTCATAACATTATTTATAGGTTTTGGATGATTTACCAAAAAAAAATATGAAAGCTTTCACTAAAATTCCGTATATTTTGTAAAAAAAATAAATTATATTATTTAGTTATAGATTAAATTTGATTAGAGTTTGTTATGTTTATAATGTTCAACATAAAAACATATTAAGTCCCCGAAAAATTTTGACTAAATTTATTTATTAATTTTTTTTTGAAAAAAAATTGTCACAAAAGTGTGAGAAAATTTATTCCAACCTATTATTTAATATAAAATTTCAAAAAAAGTAAAATAATTTTGACATTTGATCCATGTATACTGTATACTGGATTTTTATATTAATTTTTTTAGTTTATCATAAATTAATTATGATATAAATTATAAATAATTATATTTTTTATTAAAAATTTGTTTAAATAATATGTTATTATATTTCTGTCTATTAATCAATTAATACCATACATTACATGCATATACTCACTATTAGATAATTTATAAGTTAATAATAAATAATTGTTAATATTTCATATAATTAAAAATCATTTAAAAAGTTTACATAAGTTTTTAAATAAATTATTTGTTTTTTAATATTTTATTATTGTTATATAACTTTTTTAAAAATATTAAATGTTTGCTAAATATTATTGACAATTAAGCATTGGTTGTGTGCCAGTGTTCGCAGTGTATGATATTATGCACAGAAAATATAGCATTATTTCAATTGTCATGAATGTCCAGTTGTGAGTGTTATATACTTCAAGTACAAACTTTGATAATATACCATTGAATATTCCATTAAACTATAGAATCATTTCTATGTATACACAGTATTCAACTAAAAATTTGTCCTTGAAATGTATGCTTAAAATTAAATGTTTTATACGCATTGGCAGTACAGTTGTATTGCATAATAATGTTTACTGTTATTAGATTAGCAATGACTGCACATTGAGTTTTGAATTAAATGAATGAATACATAATAAACAACAAATTAATTATAAAATACAATATTATTGTTTAATTCAATCATTTATTGATATCATTGATACTATTGATCCACACATTGATTGATTGATTGACATCCACTGCTGACAATATCACCAACACATCCATCACTACTATATGTCTACTAAAACAATGTCTACTTCTTCGGGTTCGTGTATATGCGGTTCGGGTGACCACATGACAGCCTATTGTCTTATATCGTTGAAAGCGCTCGACCCGGACATCGATGACTACCGATACGGCTATTGTCCCGTTAGTAGTGTCAAAGTGACTGATTTGAAGAGACAAATGGTTAGCGGCGCCGACAGTATTGCTCTTGAATTGTACGAAGTGGCCGACAATAACTTTGAACAGTTAGTCACTACCGATATCTATCAGTACAGCAGTATTGTTGACCGACAACTACAAAGTTTTCGGTTTGAAATGCGGCCAAAATCGGTAGCAATCAGTGTATCGCTGAGAGCGCTGACCAGTTACAGCACTTCGGACGTGTCGTACACTATATTGCCGAAAGACATGCCAACTGTTGGCGATTTAAGGAGACGACTGGCCAACTGTTACGGCTTTGTCAGCCAATCGGTGAAATTGTATTTGACAGAAAAGCCGGTCTCTCAAGCACTCGCTGGTCAACGATATGTCGAACGCGAATTACAGGACGATATGCCCATAAGTCGGGCCTGGATTTATGGCCGATTTACTACGAGTCTCGTTCAGGTCTTACCAAAGCTAGCAATGAGCAGCGATACTGTTACCGATAAACTAACCGATTTGTCGGTTGCCATCAAAGAGTCGCTGGCCATACAAACCAAACTGATTGTCAATGCGCTCACCGCTGGCGACAAGTATTTGACCGACATTTATGACGACTCGGACAACGATAGCGTGTGCGGCGCCGCTGTTGACGACGACGACAGACCATCGATTGTTCCATCAATGGATGATTTTATTGACGACAAAAACAGCGACAAAACAGCTGTCGTCACTCAGTTAATGGTCAGATCAGGTGATGCACTTAAAGTTGCCGACTCTGCGCTTGAATTGAATATAAGGTATGAAAATAATAAATGATTTAAAATCGTTTTCTTAAGTTATATTTGTCTTAATGTCTTAAATAGCGATATGAATGACTTAAATACAAGTCTATTGAATAATGTAAAGGCAGTGTTGGACCGAAATAACCGACTCGTCGACCAATTTGGTAAACTCGAGGCAATTATTGATCGTAAGGAAGATAAGATCCGAGCCTTGAAAGCGGTTATCAAACAAAAACAGCTGAAGATAATTGAGATGCAAAAGATTGTCGACAAATTGTGCGATAAGTAATTGATTTTTTATTGGGAATAATTATTACGGTATATATATATATATATTTTGTTGCAATTATTTTTTTATTGATTCAACAAAAAACCAGTATTTTCTTATTATTGTAATCTCAATAATCTCACTGAAATAATCACTTTAATAATTATATCTTTTTTTGATGATAAACGAAAATATGTTTCATTTTAATTATATTTAATTCCGGTAATAATAATAATACTAATCTATTATAATGATTTTTTACCGGTAATTTAATATTTTTTCTCTATTTAATTGTCAAATACAGTAATTTTCTGTATACTGTATTTGAATATTAATAATTTTATGGTAATAATCACTAAATAATACATTTATTGTTATAAACAATAATGTTATTTATTTATATGTTGTGTTTAACTTATATTATTAATATTACTATTATAATATGTTATATTAATTAAACTTAAAATGTTAATTTTAACACTACTGTATATATTGATTGTAAATTTTTATATAAATAAAAATTTTAATAATACGGTAATTGGCTTTTATGTTGATTTTTAATTTTATTTAAATATATAGATCACACACACATTCATGTATTATAATAGTTACTTAAATAAAATTATTTCACCCCTCCCTCTCTCCCTCTCTTTAATTTTATTCTATACATAAACTTATATACAATTTTCAAAATAAACTATTACTAATGTCAAATTGTCAAGTTCATTTTTTGAAATGTTGCAATTTAATTATATTGAATATCATACATTTTGTGCATAGTCATACAGTTATAACTATTGTAATATTTTCTAAAAATAATTATATAATTAATTAATTACTTAACATTACCTTTAATTCAACAAATAGATTACCTGTATAAGTTATTATCTTGTTTGACAAATTATAAAATAATATAAATTATATATATATATATATTTATTTAAAAAAAACAGATTATTTTTTGTAAATTTATATATAAATAATATGTGAGAATATGAACTGAATGTATGATTACATGCAATAATTTGCTAATCACAGGCCAAACGAGTCGTGCAGTCAATTGGATAGCGATTTTGACGGTCAAACCATATAGTCATACGGTATACACACTATATATCGGTATATCTATAGTTAACTATATTACTAATAATATTCTGGTATTTGAACTAATGATTAAATAGTTATGATTCACACGACTATAGCAACAAACGTTTGTCTCATCATTTCATTGACAGTCATCTTCGGAATCCTATATATATTTTATTGGTTTCTGTCTCCGGAATTGTGATTTAACCGATTAAAATGTCGGACATTATCAGCAATGAGTCGTCGTGTGTCTGCGGTTCGGGTGATCACCAGACCGTCTATCAGCTTATATCGATGAAAACTGTGGACGCAAATCTCGATGACTATAAATATGGTTATTGTCCTAAATCTGGCGGTTCGGTCAAAGTGGGAGATCTGATCAATAAAGCGATGTTGGATTGTGACGAAAAAGACGTATCTTTGTGGTTGTGCGAAGAAGTCGGCGGCAGTAAGCGTTGGATTAATCGGACACAAATCTATAAATTTGTGGCCAACGATAGCGAAAATGGACAAAATATACGACTCGAAATCGTACCGACTTCTGTTGTGGTGTACATATCGTTGTCCGAACTGAAAGGACATTCAAGTGATGAATCAGTCATAAAGCACAGCATAATTCCAAGTTTGACACCAAATATTGGACATTTGAAGCGTCAGTTGGCCGCTATTTACGGGTTTATCGCCGACACAACTGTATTATATTTCAGAGAGCGGTTTATTAATAGACAGGACGGATTCATAGAGCGGTTTATTAATAGACAGGACGAATTCATGGAGCGTCAGCTCAACGACAATATGTCCATCACTATGGCCTGGTATTACAAAAGCTTTGGTAACTGTCTAATTAAGGTCATACCTATTGCCGAAACCCGAGTGCCCGCTGACAATATCGTACAATCCATAGGACAGGCATCGTATGGCATCAATCAATGACTATATTGTATAATTGAATTCATTTGTTAATTATTTTCTGCTTTTATTTTTTTTAGTCAAACAATTTCCACTCAGATTAAGAAAATAACCGATGCTGTGATAACTGCCAATAATGATAATAAGTAATAACACATTTTAATGATGTTTTTTAAAAGGATTAATATATTTTATAATATTTTAATTTTGCTTATTATTTGTTTTTCAGTGATAAACTGATTGCTAAGTTAATGGAGACGTCGATCACATTATCGGCAACAATACAAAAGTGTTTTGAAGATCACACAAAAGCCATTACCGAAGCCATGATGACAGTTGGCAGCGGCGGCAGCAATGGACGCAAATTTTTGTCCGACACTTTGATTGACAATTGCGATAATGATAGCCAATTCAGCGATGATTATTACAATTAAAGTTGTGGTGAAACCAATGAAGTTAAATGAATGGCATTAAACAAATTTGACATTAATTATGTAATTAATGAGAGCAATGTTTTTTGGGGAAAATAATATATTTAAAAAAAAATTATTTAAGTATTCAATTTAATAATAATGTCGTATATATTTAATATTTAGCAATAGTTTGTTATAATGTTTGTGATTTTGTTTCGTTGATAATCGTTTTTTTCAATTATATTTGTTTAGTTTTAGTTAATCATTAATATTATCATTGATTGTTTCATTAAATTCTTGATGTATGCTTTATCGATAATATAATATATATATATAAAAGTTATTTAATTTATATTTTTTGTTGTTGAAAATTAACTAAAAAATCAAGTCATTTCTAAATAATAATGTCATAAATAATATTTAACAGCAGTTTTGTAATAATGTTTATATTGTTATTAATAATTAAATGTTTCATTAATTTTCTAAAATTAAAATGTTTATTTAAATTATAAATAATCTAAAATTAAAAAGTTGGTTGTATAATTTTCATAAAGTTTATTAATTTAAATAAAATACTATTTCTTGCATTTATGTTATTTAAATATTTTTAAAAAATGAAACCATAGTAATTTTAATGTTAATTTTAATTTAGTTATTAAATTGATTAAGTTTTTTACGTATTGATTACATTTATCTAAAAGAATTAGTTATAACTAATTTTCTAATTAATTAATTTGCATTAATTTTATGCTATTTGTTATTACAATTTTATACTATTTGTATTATTAATTATTATTATTAATTTGTTATATTTTATGTTAAAATAATTTTATCATAATTTATAAATTATTACTAACATAATAGTTGAGTAAAGTTTTTTATTTGCGCTTACATTATATAAATATATGTATTTTATTTATAATAAGATTTACTATCATTTATTACTAACTATTATATCTTAAGACATAATGATTGACCAATTGATGAAAATGAAGGCAAAGATTATGAAAATAAAATGATGACATAATTAAGTTATTGACAGAAATATATTAATCAAAAGTTAAAATATTATTAATTATGCGAAATGTAAGAACATATAGTTATTACTATATTATAGTATATCCTAAACAAAACACACAAAAATAAAATTAAAAAAACAAAAAAAGTGTCTAGGACACCCGGTATTCCCAGGTGGTCTCCCTCCCAAGTACTAACCGGGCTCGACGCTGCTTAACTTCGGTGATCGAACGAGAACCGGTGCTTTCAGCGTGATATGGCCCTAGACATTAACAATAGATTAACTAGTTGATTTTATAAATAATAATAATAATACAATATGAACTAACAATTAATAATTATTATATATAAATTAGTATATAGTATATACTGTATATAATAATAATTATTAATTGATAGTACATATTGTATTATTATTATTTATAAAATCATCTAGTTAATCTATTGTTAATGTCTAGGGCCATATCACGCTGAAAGCACCGGTTCTCGTTCGATCACCGAAGTTAAGCAGCGTCGAGCCCGGTTAGTACTTGGGAGGGAGACCACCTGGGAATACCGGGTGTCCTAGACACTTTTTTTGTTTTTTTTAAATTTTACTTTAGTGTGTTTTGTTTAGGATTACAGTAACTACAAAATCAAGTTATATTAAATTTAATTGATTTTATTATTGTTGAATTATTAGTATATATTATTAAATAAATTAAATATTTTAGTATAAACTTGGTTAATATAATATAGAGATATGTGTTAAATTATGAACCAATGAAACATTTAATTTTTGTACTTAATTTCTATATAATTATTAATATACTATACAGTATGTACTGGTAATGTATAATACATTGTATATATACAATATAAATATATGTAGTTTACTTTTGATAAGATAGCTAAGATTTATTACTGATAAATATTAGCTACTGTACTAAAATGCATGACCTGAGGGCTTAAATTTAAAACAATGTGTTTGTTTGGAGTCCAAAATTATTTATCATATTTAGTACAGTATTAATCAAACATATTTGTAGTTTCATAAGTAAATATCCGTTTGATTAGCTAACACTTTCAACGCTATATTATTATATCTTTTTCTTTGTCCTCATCGATGTCTACTTGTTTTTGTGGATCAACCGATCACCGAACCGCTTACTGTCACATATCACGCAAAGCACTCGATGAACATATCGGTGACTATCCGTACGGCTATTGTCCGCAAACGGTTAGTTACGTCAAAGTGGATGATTTGTTCAAACTATCGGTAGCCGATAGCAGTAATATCGAGTTAAAGCTGTACAAAGTGTCCGATGACGGCACCGAAAGTCAGGTCACTACCAATACAATCAATTTAGAAGATAATGAACGACACCAACAATCACAACGAATATCTCGACTCGTAATTAAACCCTCATCTGTAAAGGTGTGGGTATTGTTGGACTCATCGATTAGTGAACAAAATGCTAGCAGTTTTAGGACTTGTATTAATTATAGCCAACCTTTCAATATTAATATATATCCGCCTAAAACGTCCACAATCGGACTCTTTAAAAAATATTTAACTAATTACTACTTCTATGGTTATAAAGATTTTAAGTTATATTTAAGGAAAAAATCCGAAACACAGGGACAGAGGCTCAGGGATGATATGCCGATTAGTAAGGCCTGGCTTTACGGTCAGTTCACCAATAGTCTGATTCTGGTCTCTCGGCTCACCATTAATGACATTCAATTTCAACTAAAACCTAAATTCAAACTATTGAGGTATTTTGATATATTTTTAAAAGTTTTTATTGTTGTATATACTTATGATAATTAATTTTATTTATATGTAATATAAGTGAAAGATTTACGGAACAGTCATTAACTATGAGAGAGTGCTTTGATAAACAAAATAAAATCATTAGCGATGGTCTCATCACTGCAAACAACTACAGCGATAACAAGTACTGTATTTTAGGCGATGTTTTTTTTGTTGTCAATGACTTCAATCAATTAGTAATTATTTTTTAAATTTAATTTTTATTAGTTTTGATATAATCAATGCCAATATGACAAAGTTGTCGGAGACTATCGAAAAGTGTCTTACAGACCAAACCAAAGCTATTACCGATGCATTGTTGACCACAACCGGTGGCGGAATTGGACACAAGTATTTGAAAGATGTTTATGTGGACTCTGAAACAGATACCCAATGTTGCGATCAATCAGTTAATTCGCAATTTGATGATATAGTCGACAATAACAGTAGCGACAAAACAAGTGTCAGTCAATTGATCCCATCAAATGATAAACTGAATGATATGTAAGTCAAGAAATATAAGGAATAAAATTCATTAATTTATATTATAATATATTTTTTTTAATTAATTAGTGATGTGAATGACTTTAATGACTGTTTTCTTAATCAAATGAAATCGGTGTTGAACCACAAGGACAGAAAAATTGATCAATTGATGAAAATGAAGGCAAAGATTCAAGAAAAGGATGACATAATTAATCAATTGACAAAAGATATCAAACAAATGTTAAATATTAATAATTATGCGAAATCTGATGACAACTTGTTTACTGATATATAATTATTTTTAATTAATTTTTCAATTATGATCAGTAATTTTGCTTATATTTAAACGAAAAACTTTAATTATTAAACGAATTATTAGTAATAATTAATTTATATCTAGGGTTAGATTGAGATTCCCAGGGAGGGAAGTTCCCAAATAAAATCCCTCCAATTTTCCCGGAAAATATGGAAAATATATTATATTCCCTCCCTTGATCGTTAGAAAGGGAAAATATAATTTGTCATACATTATAAAGTACCTAATCTCAATGACTATGTGTTTCAATTGGGACCAGTATGTTAGTAATAACTCAATCAAAATATGATTCAAATATTATTAAACATTTAGTAAAAACATTAAATACATTTTGTAGACATTTACTATACAAACGTGTTTTTAATTAAACATTATGTAATGTGAGTTATGGTACGATAGGTGGTACCACAAGGAAATGTCTTCCCAGGGAATTCCCAGGGAAGAGGGAATATAAGGAACTTATGGAAAATAAGACGAGGGAGGGAATCTGATCTAACCCTATTTATATCTAAAATAATTAGTTTTATTTAAGTTATATTCACTACATTTCTAATGTTTTTTTCCATATCATGCAATAATTGTTGTAATAAGTTATGAAATAATAAATTTCAATTATTTACTATTAATTCATTGATAATGTTATACTGATTTTTTGTTACACATTGTTTTATAGTAATTTAAAAAATATATATAATGATATTTGTATTATTATAATATCTATGAAAGTAAACGATCAAAATATTAGTATATCTTTTATATAGTTATCTATAAAATTGTGAAACCAATAAAATCATTTTCAAAAACTTTTATGACTATATATATATAAGTGTCAATCTATTTATATATACCTTAATATATGGTACAGTAGTTGTAGTTTAATATTTATTTTTTGATAACAAGTTTACTTTAAGTGTACTTAAGTTAAGGTTTAATACTCTTATTATTTGTACTAAACTTTTGTCTATTGTTTTTGTAAAATACAGAAAAATATTTTATTAATATTAAAAATATGTTTTCAAACACGTGTTTCGCAATATACTGTCGTCGTCTGAATGCACGCGCAAAACAATTAAATGAAATAAATTAATATAATTATTATTTACTTAAATTATATTTAAATTGATTTAGTAATTCATTTATTGTAAAAATCATAACAACAATCATTGTATTTGTGAAAACAGTTTAATTTATTCAATCAATTATTGATTGATTGATTGAAATGATGACCAAATGGGTGATCATTGCAGTGGTGGACAATCACAACAACAGTCACACACTGAAACCGGACGAGACATCATCGGTGGCCAACAAATACTGGTTTAATATACCATCGATAGTCAAAACTATCGCCAACTTGAAGACACTGTTGACGACCGTTAATGAAGACTTGATTGGCGATGACTTTGACATCAGTTTGAATGACTGTTTACTTAGTGATGACACCGATATCTGTATAATCAAAGTCGAGGATATCTTAGAAATAAGACGTAAATGTGTCGACCATTTGACAAACCATTTGACGGCTCAATCGTCTTCATCGTGAGTTATTGTTGACGACCATCTCTAATGATGCGACCAATAGTTATAACCAATATTTTTTGTTTTCTAAATATTTTCCCGAAGTAATGGACACCAAAACAATGATAACAAGAAATGGATTAACATATTTTCACATATCAGCGGACAATTGGATCAGTATTGGTACGCCATATCGTCTCGGGTGAGAACTGTTCGCCAATTGAAACAAGAGTTGGTCGCTATAGAAGATCTTCAGATCGACGAAATGGATCTCTTGATGAAAGATGCACTTTTGGTTGACAATACAAACATCGATATAATTAATACTATCGATAATGTCATCGAAATTAAACGTAAATCAATGAGTGATGACTATTCATTGTCGACAACAATGGAAACGATGTCCAATACAAACAACTGGTTAACTGATAATAAGTTTGTAAAAATTTAATGATATTTTTTTAAATAAGAAAAATCAATATTTAGTTTATTCAACAGTAATGATAATAAAGACTCAAAATCAATGGTCACAACAATGACGACAACAACAAAGTCGGACACTTCGGAAATCACTGATGACACTTCCCATGGTTTCACATCATCAGTGGACAGCGCTTATAGCACAGATCATACAAACATAATAACAGTCAACAACATGACCATTGGTGGTGATGAAACCGCTGCACCAGTAGCTAACAAATCAACGAATGACATGTATTTAAAAAATTATTGAAAATTTATAAATTATTTTTATTATATATATATTTTGGAAAATTATAATTACCGGTAATTTAGATCTAAAACATTTGCTAAATTGAAAACAACTACCGGTAGCAACAAATGTGATTACAAGAATTGTGACAAATTATTTAAAACTAGATATGATTACTATCAACATAGATTGTCTCATACGAAGTTATCTAAATCGACATCAAAAGCAATTTGTGATTATAATAATTGTGGCATCGAGTTTCAGACACAGCACTCGTGTTGGCAACACAAATATGCTGTCCACTATTTACGACAGGGGGGTACCCATAATACAATCAATAAATATATTGGCCCCGATATACCGGATATCAAATCTATTGACGCCGATATTCTGGACATAAAATCTATTGGCGCCGATAATTCAGATAATAAACATATTGAATGTGATTATCGTAATTGTGACAAAACGTTTGAAACATTATTAGATTTTACACAACACAGAATTGCCGTTCATTTGGGTGATTGTGATAAATACAGCGTCACTGACACTACCGGAGCTCTAAACATAACGTATGTGTGATTTTATATACAATTCATAATCTGATTTTTAAAATTAATTTATTGAATTTATTTTTATTTTTTTTAAAAAATAGTGCAAACAATAAGAGGATATCATGCAATCATAAGAACTGCGGCAAAACATTTAGATCTATTGCGGACTTTCGTCAACACTATAGGGCTGTTCATAGCTATCGATGCGATTTTAGTGAATGTCATTACGATTGCGACAACTATTACGAGTTGTTAATACATGAAAAGTCTGACCATAATATGCATACCACTGAATGTCCTAATAGTTATCTAAAATGCCGAAAGTGTCACAAAAAGTATCAAAGAGTAGCAAATCTGATGAAACATATGCAGGATCACCACAAACTGTTCCGATGTCCGTATGAAATGTGCGAAAGTCGTATTTATACTGAATTCAAACTTAAGTTACATATGTTTAAAGTCCACACACATAACTGTGCCAATCGACCATTTTATCTGAAATGTCATCGTATTGGATGCGAAAAAGAGTTTAAAGCTTATGTTGATCTCCAGCAACACGTGTTGGACGCGCATCCACTGATCAAATGTCATTACATTGGATGCGACAAAACGTTTCAGTCTAAACTCAATTTGAATGTTCACATTTATGTCGCACATTTTAAGCAATAATATTGATAATAATATAAAAAATCATTATATTAATTTTTTTCTAAAATATTTACCATAATTATTATGACTATTGTCAACATTTGACAAAATTAATTGTAAATTTAATTATTGTGAAATTATTTCAATTATACGTTTTTATCATTTTTTCTCAAATTAATTTGTTTGCAATAATATCACTGTATAGTTGAGAACAAATGTGAATATCTATCCACAAAAAAAATAATAAAAGTAAAACATATGTATAGACTATTTAGTATTTACATTGTATTGTATTGTATATTATATTATGATAATATAAATATTTATTAAAATAAACAAAAAAATCTAATCTATAATTACAGAAATTAGTGTTGATTTGTTGAGTCGGGCGAACCCACCGATGGTTAGTCCTATGGGTTGTCCTGTCATTTGCTTAAACGTTAGCCATTCGTCATAGTCATTGTCGTGACTTAACCCGTGATTAGCTGCTATAACATCCAAAGCTATATTAATTTTGGCTACACTTTCATCTACCGATCCGCTTGTCAGACACGATATAATAAACTGTATTAAAATCGTAATTATCGAGAATGACATCATAATTACAATTTGTAATAAAAACATTACAAATAGATATCTTAGAGATATCACTGTATAGATCTGAAACATAATAGAAAACATAACCCAAACCGCGGACAACACATGGATATGTTTCAAACTATTGTCTATTTCGCCGAGTGTTTCACGAATCAGACAATAAATATGTTTATAATCTGCTAATAAATTGTTTCTTCTCACGAAAAATCTGTTATCTTATTATTTTTGGATAAAAAATAATAATTTTTTAAAATGTTATTTTTAACTTTTTTTTACAATAAATTAACTCCAGTTATAAATATTCTAAAATTATTAACATAATAATAATAATAATAATAATAATAATAATAATATCAAACAATTAAAACTAATAATTAATTTTTTTTAAAACTGCAATGCAGTAAAAGAAATAATAACAACATTGATATTACGCATAAATATGATAACACTGGACTTTAAAAAAAACAAATTACCTTGATAATGATTTGTTAGATTATCAGCAATTGCCAGACATATATGGGAACATGTTTGCAATATTAGCCATGTCAAAAATGGTAAAACACATAATTGTAAACTTGACAAATAAAACACAATTAGTCCCATATAATAGTAAATATCAAGCGGTATATAGGATTTAGTGAAAAATATTGAAACAATTATTATTATTAAACTAATTGTTTGGACTATCCATAAGATAATAATCCAATTTAATTTTTTTAATTTACTCAATAAATTATTATTATTATTATTATTATTAGCAATATAGTAGTTAACATTTCTCAATTGATTTTCAATAGATTTAAGCTTAAAATATTGTTGCAACATATAATTACCGTTATTGGTATTTAAAAAATATAATGTTTTATATTTTAAAATTAATTTCAAAATTGAGTTGGGCAATTCTATAAATTGTACAGTTATAATAATATTTTCTAATTTTAGATATTCAATAAATTTTGGTGTCGGTAATGTCAATGTAATTATTAATTTGCTTATATCATCTTTTATGTTAAATATATCATAAATAATTATCAGTATTATCAATATTAATGTATAATATTTTAATAATTTTTGTCTAAATGAACGTATATTAGATCCAGTACTATATTGATCAAATGTTATACCAATTATACGATAAAAATTTATATAAAATTTAGTTATTGTTGTTTTATTTAGTGGATTCATTTTAGTTTGTTAATTATAATTAATAATATTAATACTGTATAAAATAATTTTTATTATAAAAATTATTTATATTATTATAATGTTTCAAAACAAATTGAAACTTACTTATTATATACAGTATATACTGTAATACTTATATTGTATTAAGATTTTAATGTTAGGTTAACCTCTTATACAATAATGTAATTAAATTATAATTTAATCAATAAAATAACATTATTTTATAAATATTTACTATTTTATATAAATCCTAGTAAATCTATATTCTGAATCAATATAAAACTGTATAAAATAAACATTTTATAAAATACATGTTAATATTTTTATTGAATAAATGTTTATTTAAATAATAAATGTTTTAGTAAATAGAAAACAAATTATATTAATTAATAAATTCACAATACGTCATGAATACTAAAATACATAAATATGATATTTATTATTGATTATAAAAGCAATTTTAAAAGTATCTTTATTGCTATAATTAATCAAATATGCTGTATTGAAATATATGATATTAAATTATTTACAATGTATAAATACAGTAGTTAATTTAACATTATAATCTATAAATTAATCAATATTAACTATTTAAATACTATACTATAAATCAATATTAACATAATAAAGTTAGTTGAAATAAATAAGATATAATTTGTTAATTTTTTTACATTAAGTTCACCTCTTATACAATAACGCAATCTTAATTGCATTCAAATTTAATTAATAAAATAACATTAATTTTTTAGAAATATTTACTATTTTATATAAATCCTTAATATAAATATTTCGAATCAATAAAATTTTTTGTAACATTATAAAATAAAATTATAAAATACACATTTTATACAATAAATGTTAATATTGTTATTGAATAAATGTTTTAGTAAATAAAAAACAAATTATTTAATTAATAAATTACAATACTTTAAGAATATACAAAAATAATGATTATTGATTATATAAAACAATTTTTTTATATTAATATATTTAATTATTATTATAAACTAATTACAATTAATCAAATATGTTGTATAAAAATATATTATCTAATATTATACAGTAATGAGTCATTTGTATAATTTGTACTAGATAGTTTAATTTTATATTACTGTATACTTATTATATCAATAATCAATATTAACTTATTAGTATAAACAATATTGAAATAAAAATAGTAATTTTTAATTGATTTTATATTTAAACAAATGAATGATAATAATACATTATCAAAATATATATATTATCAAAAATGTTGTTTAATTGTTTGTTTTTATATGAATCTTTGCTGATAGAGTGTGAACTAATAAAAAATATCGTATATATTTGATACAAATCTAATGATAAAATATATATATATTTATATATTAATTAATTATTACAACTACTGGTAATCCAACAATATCTAAATACATACAGTTTGAAACATTTGTAGAGTCAGTGCACCAAATGGTCCGACATTAATACCGATTTTCCTTTTACTGGACATACGTTCAAAATAAGTCATTAATTTCAGTTTTAAACGCAACCCGAAAGGCCAACACTGGATACGCCACTGAAGTTGAGCCAAACGTTTGGATAATCGGTGTATTTTGTGGGATAGATAGGCCATTGCAAAGTTGGACCAAAATATATACATCATATTACAAAACGCTGCGTATAGACCCATATACTGGAGCCCATCAATCATATCTTCAAACAGCATCTGATGCCATATAAGGAGATTATAGGGCAAAAAGCATAACAGATCTGCAAATTTCAATTTTCCTAACAGTTTGTTGTAATCGTTTAATAAATGACACAATTGGTTGTGTTGGTCAATAAAATTACGAGTTTTTTGACATATATTAACAATATTGTTATTTTTGTCAATTGAATCATTTAACTGGCGATTAATTTTACAAATTTTAATGTATATTAAAAATATAACAACAGGTAATGTAGTTACTAGAAATAATGTATCGCAATATATTGCTGTAAATGATATGTGAAACATAAATAATGGTATAATAGCTATCAGTGCTTCAATCCAATTGTAGTTATCAATAAATAGTTGAATTGTTATATAAAAGCCCAGGAAAGCTAATTATGATTAAATATAAATTAATTGTATATAAATTAATCAATTATTATTATATTATATAAACAAAATTATTAGTTTTTAAATTTATAAATTTTTCAAAAATAAAACATACGATACCTGTTAACACATAAAAAGTTGAAAGCGATACATAAATCAATTTTGCTGACAATAGTGATAGTTTAACTATAAATTTATTATTTGAACAAAAAAATCTATAAAATTTATTACTATTTTCTAATTCATAAACACTGTTTGAATTGTAAATAATATCAAACAATGGTAACCAATCCCATGATTTACTATCATAATTAAAATGTATACAACGATATACAACTGTAGCAAATATAATGCCTATCAATATGACTATTGAACTGAATTTTTCAATACCTCCGACAAACAATGTCACATCAAACAGAAGTTTTCGGATCTCATAATTACCAAACAAACAAATTATAACATTTAATAAATTTAATAAATAACATAAATATACAATAGTTTCCAATAGTGTTGGCTTTTTATGGAAATAAATTTTTTGTTTAATTCCAGTTAAATATAGATTAACATAATATCTATTAAAATATAATAAAGTTTTAATCATTTTTTAAGCTACTAAATTGTAAGTACTAGACTTAATTAATTGCTAATAATTAGATTATAATTTAGCTAATAGTAAAATATTATAAATTTAGCAATAATTAAATTATAAATAAATAAAATAATTATTAAAATATTGATAAAATTTAATTTATTATTCTGTAAATAATATTTTAAGATTTGGCTTTAAATAGAATAATATTGTATATTGTTTTCAAAATCAGAAAATATATTTAATTATAAAATCAATAGTTATTAATAATTCAAATACTAAATATATAATAATTTATTATTAATTAGTATTGTTTGGCTTTAGTTGAACTATAGAAATAATAATAATAATAATTATTATTATTATAGTTATTATTATTATTAAAAAATATACAGTACTGTAATATACTTTATGCCCCTCCCCATCTATGATATTATTGGATAATCTATATAAACCCAACACTTATATAATACATACACACACACACTTAAGTCGGTCTACTTTTACCTTTTAAAACTGTACTGTATAATTTATATGGTGTGATATAATAAAATAGTTATTTCCCTAAAT